TGCCGATGCCTGGTCAATATTCGCCCCCAATGCTAAAAATCACTGCTAAGAATCAACTCCTTGGAGATTCAGATACGATCACGGATAAAGATGGTACTGTAACTTTTGAAACTTGTGGGAAAAACCTAGCAATGTTCAATGGACTGTTTAACTTTATCAGGATTTGTCAAGTACTACACCAAAAACTCGTTTGGAGGCCAGCTCAAACTGGCATTATCGAGCGGTATGCCTTCCCTCCGTTCCATTTTCACAAAATAAAACTGATGATCCCGACTTGACTCGATCAGTCACTCTTCAAGCGGCTACACCTTTTACAATTTCCACCACTGGAACTATCACCCTCACCAGCGGACCTTTGCCAAACACTCCTATTGATTTTACCGCCACTTATACTTTCACGGGAGCCCATCCAGCCTATGGACAGGTACAATCATTGGATCAAAAAGTCATAGGAATCTTTAAAGGTTTTCCTCAGTCTGGAGCAGCGGGTGGCTTTCCTTCGCCGGGGGTCGCCGGAGCAAGCTTTGGAGGATTCTCGATCCCAAAACAACACGGAGAATAATTCGATCAAAGCAACATGCCTAAAAAACTTGTATGCCCCATAGTGAGAAAATGGAGCTTTCCTCATCTGATTTCTTTTCAAACTCCACTTCACACTTTCTCCTCATCATCAAACAAGTCATTACAATGCCAAAACGCAAAAAACATAGTAATAGTCCTCATCCAACAGCCCCAGAACCCGAATGGATTCTCCCCTCAAGTGGCTGCGGTGTTCGTTGGACTGGGTTTCTCATGGGCAAAGAGCGTGATCAATCAGCTGGACGACGAGACGCCAAATGCACCTATTGCAACCAGGTTATGAATGGTAAACCTCATCTATTACAGAAGCATATCATCAATCTCTGCCGATCAATTCCTGGTGACCAGAAATCAGCATACATAAACACTGTTCAGCCACAATCGTCTGCTAATTCCTCCGACTCAACTAATGAAGATTCCACCTCAACTTCAGCTATTGACAAACCCAAGCTAATTCACAACTTTACTGATGTGTCACTCCATCATTTTGTCAAAAGAACTCAAGACAAAATGGATCAAATCAATCAACATCTCTGTCTCGCCTTGATAACTGGCCGCATACCTTTCTCTGTGCTTGAAAACAAGCATTTCATTCGTTTTCAAGAAAGGCTATCAGTTTCACCAATCACAACCGCTACTAGATATGTGATGACAAACCGTATTTTACCAATTGTGCATGCTCGCACTGTCAAAGAAATGCGAGATGATCTTTCCCGCCAGTCGGGTCTAACAATCTCCCTTGATGGATGGTCCGACATATCTCGAAACAGTGTTTATGCTGTCTTGGCTCTACGTGGCACAAAAGTCAAACACTTTATCGATACACTCGACCTTCACCAAATCCGACACACTTCCGAGAACATTTCTTCGAGTCTTGATAGTACACTCAGCTTGTCAGGAATAAAGTGGGACCAGATAGTTGCTGTTGTGACTGATAATCCTACACCCATGGTGAAACTTCGAGTGAGTTCTGTTCATATCTTGTTCTTGGTGCTTCCATGATGTTCTTGTCTGATATGATGCTTATCATGTAGAGAATTATCCGTGAAGCACATCCTCATGTTATTGGCATTCCTTGTTGTTTGCATTTTTTCAATCTGATTGCCAAAGACTTTCTCAACCACCAAGACATGAAAAAAGTGGTCTCGAATAACAAGGAGTTAGTTAGGTACTTCACATCTTCACATCACTGGACCGAGCATCTTGAATCATGGCGAAAAAAGGAAGGTATTACTCACGGTATACAGAGCTCATGTGACAGTCGGTGGTACATCTATAGCAAAGTCTGTCTTTCTGTCGACACACATGAATTAGGATTTCTCAAATGCGCCGATATGTCTGATGATCCGACATTGGACACTCCGACAATCCCAAAAGAAACAGCTTTGATTGTTTGAACTCGCAACCATTTCACTGCAAACAAAGCACTTGTTTTGTTCCTCAAGCCGGTTGTTGATGCCCTTGCTCGCTTAGAATCAACCTCTACAACCCTTGGTGACATCTGGAAAGAGTTGATTAACGTTTACATCCAAATTTCAAGTCTCGATCTTTCTACCTGGCCGGGTTATGTCAATTACAAGACTTACTGTCTTGGTGTTTTGAATTCAAGAGCTCGTGCCTACTACGACGAACTGATCTTCATCCTTGCTTTATTCCTTACTCCAAGCTGTCGCCATCTGTCTGTATCACGTGCCTATCCGATCAAATCGATCCAAAAGATGATCGTTAACCTCGCTTTTTTCTGGGGATACTCGCAAGCCAATGCCATTACGATTGCACAACAGGCCCATCTTTATCTCAATGGTGAAGGTCATTTTGGTACATCAAAGAAATGTATGTCCTTTTTTAAACCATCCAGGCGACTTCGGCTACTAACTCTTTGATTCATGTATACATAGTTTTGCTTGCAATCGATTACTGGCTCGATGTGCCTACAACCCTACAGACGAGTCTACTTAAACATCTTGCTATCAAACTACTCGAGATCATAGCCCATGCTGCGGGTGTTGAAAGCCTATTTTCAGCCATGTCAGCTACAAAGACAAAACAGCGAGCTGCAATGACCCTCACAAATCTCAAGATGATATCACAAGTTCAGCTTTCCGAAACAAACAAGAACCCAACAAAGAAATCCAAATCGGTCAACAATCATACCGACAAAGAAATTGAAGTTATCGAAGACCCACAAGTAGAACCATCAGAGCTCTTTTCTGGCCCAGATGATCTTGAAGAGTTTGAACAAGGAGTGGCCCGATTGCAAGAGGAACCGATGCTTGTTGACCCCGCTTTAGAGGCTGATTCTTATGATGGTTTTATTAGATCTCTCTTTGATCTGACTTTATTTGAGGTTCAATCTTTTCATCATGTTGAGTCTGCAGGTGAAAGTACACCTGCTGTTGGCGCTCCTGGAGCCTGGAACCCCGATGAAGTCATATTTGACTGATCTTATTGTTTTTATTACGTGTGCTATGCTGAAATACAATTTTTCGACTGGTTTCTTTTCGTTTTTTGACTGTTTTTTAACTTTTCGCACTGTGAGAGGACGCGCCTAACGCGCCAGTGGCGCCCAGACGCGCCTATTTTTCCGACAAACGCGCCAGGGCGCGCCTTTTTTTTTAGAGCCGCGCCCCCATCCTGACTCGGACAGTGGACTTGCCCACAATCATGAATTAACACCGACATCCTGTTGTCCGTATAGCGCCATAAACTCGCCACCCTACCACACCTTTCGTGAAAATCATGTTGCACCCGAAAGGCTTTAATCCTCCCTTCCTTACATCTTTCAAAAACTGGATTCAGCTGGACTCAATAATTTTTGACTTGACAATCAAACCATTCTAAAACTATCCATGGTGCCATTTGATCACTGATTTCTCTCTCTCCTGGCTCCATGACTTCGATGACTCGCAGGCCGCAGCTTCCAGAATAGATCATCACAATCCACGACCCACTGCCTCCACAATCACCCTCACGGGAGTGAAAGGTACACCATAATCAATGTCTCAGAGATCTCCCTTCTTTGATCTCAGTCAAAGTCTCGCATTCAAATCCATAAATGCACATTTATTTCGGACAAACGAAGAAAAATCAGATCAGTGTAATTTCTGTAAACAAAAAGAGACGGCCAATCACTAATTAGTACATAAACAAAGAAAAATTGGAGACAAACCCAAAACCAGAAAAAAGAGTACTCGGTTGCTGACCAGGAAAGATGCTGGGAACACCCTAGGAGTATTTAAGCACCTTCTGCATGCAGAAATGCATCGAGGAACCATTGAAGCAAAAAAACACAAGCCACACTTATGTACATATGGCATTCCAACTTCAGAATTAATTCGCGTAAATTGTGTGCAAATTATGTGCAAATCATGTGCAAATCATGTGCAAATCATGTGCAAATTCTGTGCAAATTCTGTGCAAGATATGAGAATAAGTAGAACTTGCACAGAACTTGCACGGAACTTCCATGTCGCCCTCGCACGGTTTTTGCACAAGTTTGAAACCCGTAACTGTTACGTAATGAAGCACCATGATAAAGATTAACTAGTGTGCAATGCCATAACAATCGCACTCATTTCGCAATCATTTCAACAAAGCTCTCATTTGTGTCCATCTCAAAGAAAATTCGGAATCAACCTCAATCGATATTCGAAGCTCCCCAGGGCCTAGACCCTTGTTTTTGATATCCAATCACTACCTTATTTTAGCAAAGCTTGTAATCTGTCCACTGGACCAGGAATGGTACATATTTGACCTGATCGATATAATCAAACCGATCGTATCCAAAACAATCCGTGGAATGATCTTTTGGAATCAATCTCATCTTCCCTACCGGTTCTTTAAATTCTATGCAGCGCCAAAGTTGCCTAATAGCACTTTCCATCAATCTTCTTTCCTCGAAAATGTCCAGACAACAACCGTCAATTTGCTAAGAGCCATAAGGTCACTATAACAATGTTCTTTGAGATACACATGTTGACAATGAGATTGAGATCACTCCATCAGTTACTGCTGTACCAATTAGAGTGACCACTATGCAGAAGACAACCGGTGTGAAGGTATAATTTGTCAAATCAAGCTCATTTGCCACCTTCTGTCCAGTGGTCACTCTTCTTGGTCCAGGATCAACTGGGAGGGTGCTCTCCTCCCTGTCGGTGCGGTGTGAATTTTGAATAAGACAGCCATAGTGACTTTGTTGAACTTGACAAATCAGAGAGCTTGTTTCCAGGGTGGAAATGTGACTTGTGAGCAAAGCACACAGCACCATTGTTGACAGAGATGCAATCAAGCTGGAGACTGCCTGTTATGTCCAGTGTTTTTTTGTTAATATAGCTGACAGTGATCTGAGAATGTACAGCTGCTTAAAAAATTAAGGTAATTGTTCAATTTTTTGATTTTGTTTCTCTTCAAAATTCATATCAACTTGGAGCAAATACAGAGTATTGGCTGAAGGATAACTCAACAAAAAAATATTGATATAGGGCTTTATTGTTTCTATGCTAGTGAAAACCTGTGTGAATTTCTGTAAATGTCAAAAATCATTGACAAAAACAAAAACAAAAATGATGGAAGAGTATAAGATGTGCTAGGTTTTCTCAACTTGTAACATCAATCAGTAAAAAATTACAACCAAAGAGCCTACCTGGGAACATAGGAAGCAGAGGTTAAGATGTGATGAAAGAAATATGCTATGTCATATGTTTCCAAGTGGGTTTACTTTAACCGTAACATCCAGAGTGTCACAGAAAAACCTTTTTAGTTTACTATTTGTCTAAACAAAACTATTCCAATGTGTCTGACACAAACTACAAGGCCTAGAAACTCAAGATTGGCTTTGGTTATTCCTGAGTCACAATTGAGGCCAAAAAAATGTGGACTAGCCTCCCAATATTTTTCCAAAAAAAGCACTTGTTGCTTATGCATCATAACCATAGGCAGAAATTATAGCATCCTATGGAGGACTACAACTGTTCTGCTGCAACA